GGTCAGTGAGATTGGTGAGCGCACAAAATTTTATTTTATTGATACGAAATAGCTATTGACTGTAAGTCCTTACTTACGGTCTACACAATGGACCTGATTTGGCACATTCATCTGCGTTACAGGGTTATCCTATACGATTGCGCTGCTCTCTTCATCACTCTACAATAATAATAACAGGTTCTTATATAGCGCTTTTAACAAAGATCAAAGTTCTTTACATTATTATTACCCCTGATCATTGGGCCAATGATATATTCCAAATACCATCTCAGCTCCCTGGGGAGTATACAGCTCAATGATGCCCGTTAAGCGCAAGAAATCTAATTCAACCACAATAACCATCTCTACCCTTACAGGTACCCATTTACTCCTGGGTGGAGAGAAGCAATGAGTGACAAAGTGCCTTGCCCAAGGGCACATGCACCATGACCCCGGGCTGGACTCGAACCCACAACCTGCAGCTTTACCCACAGACCACGAATCCAGTGCCCTTAACCACGAGGCCACAGCACTCCGACAACCAATATAAGTCACAAGTCCAGACCACATGGATAACAAAACTTAGTCACCCATTCATTCTATCTTTACCAACTGGGACACACATTGCAGCATGCATGTACAGTTTTGTATGTTAATGTACTGGTACGATATTACAAAATGTACCTCAAGTCAATTGTTTTACAGGCATAAGTTGTTCTTCCACAAAATTGCTCCCGAGGATGGTCATAATATCTTTCTGGTAGTGGGACCAAGGATTCCTCAAAAGTGCCTCAGTCACTGTAGCTCGCAAGCCTGAAGAAGAGGAGACAATGAGGAGAAATTACAGTTTTAGAGGTGGGAGGAAAACCCCAGAAGAATATTCTGGGGGAAAACCCACGGAATCAGGTAGGGACTGAAAACCCAATCTCCAGGTGGGAATCAAACCCGGGTTAGTGGAAGGCGAGGAATGCAACCACTGTGCCAACCTGACTCCCCTAATGTACATCCATTATTTATTCCTAATTCCATTCCCATAACTGTCTGGAGGTTTGTATCAGCGATATAACTGCAGCATCCATCACCTACATAAGTGCACTCATCACTTGGCCCAATATTCAGTGGAATAATCAACGTTCAATTATTAAAGTGCACCTTAATATTTAATCGGTATGGATCGAGAACACTTTGCGTTCTCTCAGATGGGCACGTCTGTGTGGAATCCAATTAAAGCCGTGGGATTAATCATGCGTTGTGGACAGCTTGGCCAACACCCCTTGCTCCCGTGGCTTTGTTCTTGCCTAGCGAGGTGAAAAACTACTTTCAGGTATAAAAACTAACGGCTGGATTGCACAAAGCGTGACGGCATTCGGACTGGTGATGAGAAAAGGAAATATGATACAAAGACTTAAACTACATGGCTACGTTGGCAGTGACACAATCATCTATAGATGCTGTGCACAAGTACGCCCTCAGCAGTAACAAAAGGGAGAGTTGGAAAGACTAGGGGAGGGACATTCGAATGCGATGCTGACAACACCTGACACTCACGCGAAGACACTCGGGCTTTGTGCACATTCAGAATAAGGTTGGCGTAGTGGGACATTCCTCGCCTTCCACCGCTGTGACCCGGGTTCGAATCCCACCTGGGCCAATATGTGGATTGGGTTTTCAGTCCCTACCTGATTCCATGGTTTTTTTCCCAGAATATTCTTCTGGGCTTTTCCTCCCACCTCTAAAACTGTAATTTCTTCTCATTGTCTTCTCTCCACAGGTTTCTTCAGGCTTGCGAGCTACAGTGCCAAGGGCGCTTTTGAGGAATCCTTGGTTTCATTACCAGAAATGATTAATAATAATAATAATAATAAAATGAGTTGTGCATACACCGCGCAATATATGCATGCGGTGTCCATCAGGCTCTTGAAAGAGGTAAAAAAGCACCATCTGCGTTGCAAGGAGTCTATTTGGAGTGAATTCAGCCCCTTTCATTAGCCATGTATGATGTGTACCAGGGGTCTGCATACCGGTATACCCATAATCAACCTTACGTATTTCTCAGTAATTTCTCATACAAAGAAAGGTTTTGAATGCCATTTGTGGGGAATTTCAAAATGAAAACCAGGCTACATAAAAAAAAAACACAGATTTTTTTTTTTTAAATGCTAATCCGCCCTAAACAAGGCTAAAAGCCACTCTACATGTAGGTAAAGGGCTACAAAAGAAGAAAACATAAACATGTAGAACTTCAGGAAAGCTTAAGGTAGGATTTATATTCCTCTTAAAAGATGGCAGATCATAGGATGAAGGGAAACATTCACCAGGCAAGGAGTTCCACAGAGATGCAGTACGTGGGAAAAAGCTACTGGAATAGCTCTTTGTTCTACATCTCGGCACAGCCACAGTGTAAGGATGAGAACAAGCAGAAAACCTTGTATCACGCTCAAACACCCTGACAGGGGGAACCAGGTTGGATAGACTGGTGGAACATGATGTATGTGCATTTTAACGCACGACAGATGACGTTCGCGAAAGTTGCAGTCTACACCGTTAAGCTGTTAAGCCCTTCAGATATTGCCAAAAAATATCCACACCGTAAGTTTTGTTTAGGACTAGACTCCCTGACAGTAGAGGGAATTTACCAGGTTGCGTTTTTTTGGGGTCATTTTCAAGGTCATTTTTATTTGGGGGAGGGGATGGGTAAAAAGTTCGTGAAAAGGGCACTCGCACATCCGTGCTGAAAGGTAGACAGGGTTTTGTTCTTCGGCTACTTAGCCTCCGTAAAATCAAAAGGGGGGGGGGGGGGGCTGGTACCATCTCCCTGTGGGGGCACTGTTCAAACTGGACGATCATGCACACTATTGGACAATTGATGGCACTTTTCCGGGCGCCACAATTGCCAAAGGTAGCGAGAAATTCAGAAAAGGGCACTAGTAAAAGGCCGTTGGTAAAAAAAGCACTTGTTTTTTTTTTTTTTTTTTTGTAATGCCACTAGTTTAAAAATAAAAGGGCAATTGTTTTAAAATAAAAAGGCAGTCTTTACAAATATTGGGTGTTAACACTGGTGAAATAAGGGCACTTCAATGGAAAAGGGCAGTCTTTACAAAATAACCTCAACCCCCCCCCCCCCTTAGCCCTCTGAGCTTAGAATTTCCTTCCTCATGTACTGATAGAGATGAGCTAATTGATTAAAGACACACTTGGTGTATTTTACTCTATTAGGTGTTCTACATGTGGACAATTAATTAATAAGGGCTTTATTAGCATTGTTGCTCCTGTTCAAATTGCAAAATTTCTATTTTTGTAAATCTAGCAAGCAGCAAGTGATTTCTGAAAAAGATGGAAGTTTGGAGCAGACTTCCGTGTTTGACTCCCATGGCAGTTCAATTTATGTCCTTGACCATAAAATCCACCAGTTTGGGGAGGATTTTGCAGGATTGAGAAAGGCTTAGCCCAACCTCGACTTTGAATGGAGCCTGACGCCCAGCTGTCTAAAGTAGCCTTACAAATGCATGAAGAAGTTCCATTAGACGACTTTGGAAGGCTCATGAAGGTTCTTAACAAAATTGACACTTAGAGTTAATGTGATCATAGAAAATCATCATGACAGTTGCCTATAATAATTGACATTATGAAAGTTCAGGGTCTGCAAAGATTGTCTGCACATGCAGTCTTGTTTCGTAGTTGTGGGGACATACATGTACATGTACACTCGTCCGTACAAGATACTTGTAGGGACCGAAAATGCTGTGGGGACAGCAAAAAGTCTCCATAACTCGTTCCTAATTTGCCTAACGATAAAAAACGTCCCCATAACGTGGTGTAGGCCAGGGTACATGTAACTTGTCCCTTTATACATACATACATGTACATCCACATCTGTTCATGTACATACCGGTACATGTAAGAGCAATTCCAGGAACACTCGTAAACACTTTCGAGTTTTGAATAGCTGTCCCTTTTCAAACTGAAGTCACCAGCTTATTTGTTCTCTTCTTATTGTACATGTACGGGTACGTAGCAGAGCAGTTTCCAAAGAAATTGACCCAGGGTCAAAATGGATGTTTTGCTATTAAAGACATTATGAACAAGTATGTACACTGAAATAGTGCAAGTATCAAGAATAAAGAAAACTGCATGTTCCTTTCCCAAACTTTTTTTTCAAAGTTAAACATTACTTGCTTGCATTTATCAAGGTAACCTGTATTTAAATAGCGATACATGTGTACATACATGTATACACACGTAGACCCAACATTATTTAGTCCCTGCAATGCATGTTTGTTGTCTGTCCGCATTTTCCTTAATAACTAAGAAATTGCGCGCTTTCAGTATGTGTGCAATCTTGTGTCAAAAAAGGGAAAAGAAAGAGATTAATGACACTATCTGGATTCCAATTTGAAGTGCAAATATTTCAGGAATCCAAAACAAATATTGCACACGCAAAAAAATGTAGTTATTAATGTTCTGTTTATTACTACTGCCTGAGTCATTTTCTCTAAAGGTCATTGGGCAAATAAGTCTCGCACTGTTTGGTCAGACCAAAATAAAGGTTCGACTTTCAGTACTATTTAATAGTGTACCGTCATCTTGCATTCCTGGTCATGTTTAAAGTCTGTTCTGAAGATTAGAATTTTATGATATAAATTCTGCTATGAGGAAAAAAAAGTTTTAAAAAATGTTGAAACATACTTAATGATTCTGTTTGACCATGTAATGAAAAGAATATGATCTACAAAATGTTAATGTAAATTTTAATATTTTCAAGTTGCCAATTCCAAATTCTGCATTCCAGCTATTTTTCATTGGAAAATTTGAACCCTTATACCAATATACATGTAATTCTTCATTATGAAAGGAAATAATCGTTTCAGTTATTGGGGGATTAGGGATTGGGAATTGGGGTTGATGTGGTGTTATCTGAAATAAGCCAGTGTGCATGTAAATGTATGGAAAAATATTGTACAACATACATGTATGTGTTGATACAGTATCGCTTAAAAATGGTTTGTCTTCTTGTTTTACAGGGCCATAGGAGTCATCACGTACATTCTGTGAGTACTGTGCTTAATTGACCATTTTGAAAACAAGTGATGATTAAGACATTGTTCTAGAAGCAGAAAAAGTTTCCATAGAACGTTTACAAACAGACAAATGAAGTAGTAAACAAACATATAATGGAAGATGTAGATGGTGAAATTAACATGCAATAGACCTTTTACATAGTGGCCATCTTAAAGGGCATCTTTTGTTATTTTTATTCAGTAACAATGAATGAACAAAAGGCTCACTCACACATATCCCAGCAAAAAAAAAAGGCATTGCCTTCTGAGATGGCTGCTACGCCTAAGGTCTATATAGAAGTTAAAAAACAATTATAAGTTGAAAATGTCCTGTGAAGCGCAATGCAGTGGATTGATAATTTAGTTGATACTACCAAGAAGAACACATTTCCATCCTTGGGAGTTAATATTTCACACATTAATTGCAAATGTTATGTCTTTGATCTGTGATGTTTCTTAAGATGGCGAAAAGAAGCAAATATACACAATAATAATTATGTTTAACTGGCTTTGCATTTACCGAAACAAGTTTTCTTTTATGTAATTTGCCTGAAAAACTCATCTGAATGACTTGTGTTGGCTCATCAGGTTAAGTGGCTGTTCACCGTTTCTCGGCGACGACCAGCAGGAAACCTATACGAACGTGACGAGAGTGGACTACGATTTCGACAACGAGTATTTCTTGTCTACCAGCGAACTTGCCAAAGACTTCATCAGCAAATTGCTGCGCGAAGACCCAAAGTAAGTTGTGAGCGGAGAGTGCAATCTTAAGGGGTGGTTCTTCAAGCAAGATACTAACCCTAACCACCTCCAACCCTTCAAAATCCAACTGCATGTTTTGTTGGAATCTGTTGGAGTGAGTACCGCACTAGTAAACTGATTATGCTTTACATGGGGTCAGGCATACCACCATAATCAGAGTCCAACAGTTTTTGTGTACAGTTTACCATATGGTGTTGGAATTCGCAGGAGTTAGGAAGGTTCCTAGTAAATCACTCTAGGGGTAAGGATTAATTGAGTTTTCGATAGGGCCCCCCAAAAAAGTCTCTGGTTTCTGGTATGCGCGCGCGTCGCCGTAGAAATGCGCGTCGGCAAAATGAAAAAGTTTTTTTTCAAGATGATGTCTCACAATTTAAACGTGTTTTTAGATGGGGTTACGATCAAGTATAAGCTTTATGTGTCCTCTCTGGAATCCCATATTTTGCACTAAATTTAGTCTGGCACCATTTGCAGTCATCAGCCGACATTTGAAGGAAAAAAAAATAAGCCGTGTTGCTGCACCACTTTTGGGGCAAGCTCCATACTAGAAACCGAAGACTTTGTTTTTTGGGCCTATAGATGCTTCTTTACAGGCTTAGAATTTAGTTTTCTAGTTTGATTATAAAACGAGAAGTATAAATGCTTTCATAAACATCATCATATTGTGAAACCTATGCAAATAATTTTGCCAAAGGGGAACAAATGTATTACTCTTCAAACAATCACCAGATCCTAAATTACCATCATTGCAGCTCATTCATAAATGCACATTTCTGATTTCTGAGACATCATTTTCTCAGCCTTAGGCACCAATATCCAGCAAAATGTAGGGGCTTGATAGAACACACCTGTTTGAGACTCTACGTCTGTTTGAAGAAGCTTTTTGAGAGTGTGGGTTCCGTTTTGACGTTCATGATGTCTAGAGTTTAGTCTGAGTCATCCCGGGGATATTTCCTGCGATTTTTGAGTCCAGTTATTTCAGAGTTGTTGAGAGCTAATATGGTATGGGGTATGTTAGTGATACATTTATACGCTTTATTGCTACTCCCTTAAGCAACTTCTAATTGTAAGTATCATGAACATGTAGGGTGAGTCATATTGTGAGGCACGTAATCGCAACACGAACTGATCTTTGGTCTTGCAAATTGTAAGAAAACAATTGTGCTCAGCACATACTGTATCTGTACATGTACAGTGTAGGTACCGGTAGGTACCGGTACATGTACATGTAGGTCTGAAAGCACATTCAGTGGAAAAAACATCAAGTCAGTTTGGTTAGACTACATTTTCGTGGACATGCCGACAATAATCATTTTTTGTAAATTGCAGTGCACCTTGCCCATGGATGGCTGCTTTATGCTCTTTTAACCCTAACCTACATGTAAAATCCTCCAAAAGTCTCTGCACAAAATGGAGGACTTTGCAGGATTGAGGCTATATGGCAAAAATGCGTGGCTGATTTCTGAGGATGCACTGTGTCAAGGTCTTGGGCCGGACCTTATGTTGTTTAAGTTCAGCCATGCATAAATGTAGGCCTAAATTATACTTGAAATCCACCGCACTGCTCCAGGATGTCACTGGCTCTGCCTCAACATATTGACAGTGATTGCTGGAGGATTTTGCAGGATTGAGACAGTGGTCACCCCTCCAAGGACCACATTCAAGAAATAACAGATGATTTTAGAGGATTGAGGTTGTATGCAACTTTTACATGGAGGCAGTTAGAGAATTTTGCTGGAAGGAGGTTACATCCTACATGTAGCAAAAATACCTATGGAGTAAGGGTTAAAAAAAAAACGTCTTTAGAATTATATTTATAACTTAAGTGCACCTACTTGCACTTCGAGTCTGGAAGAAAAGAGACATGTAAAGGATATTAGCAACTTGATCGTGGATGAAGTCTTTACATACATGTACCGGTAGTTCTTAAAGTTCAAGTAGGATAATTGTCTTTGGATGATCTGTTTTGAATCAGTCAGACAACGTTGCATAACTTGCATTGTGGCATGCAATTTTGTGACAATGACACTTGACACCAAACTTCATTGTGTTACTTTTATCCACACCGTGTTTGCCTTGTGCGCATAAAGTGCGTGTTTGAAGCTTTATAAATTGTGCATCAGTTCACTTGGTGTTGTGCATGAGCCAGTTTAAAAACAAAACACAACAAAAAACACAGACATTCTTGTCATAACTAAAGCTGAAGATGTTTTTGAAGCAACCGCAATTTACAGTAGATCGAGATCCATTTACAGAGATAATTCTTCAAATCTATCTGACTGGAATATTTGAAAAGGAATAAAACTAATATTAAGATAATCTTGGTTAATACTGAAAGCATTATCCTGCCAGTTTGAGCTTTATTGTTCCCGTTTGAAAATCTCATCTGTGCTAGCATACGAATTGTAGCTGCTCAAAATTGTACCTTTAAAGTGGAAGTGGGAATTATCACGAGGTACGGGTAATGCACGAAGCTTATCCGATGATAATGTCTGGAGAAAAGAGGATTAGAAGTTCCTAATTGATTTAGATGGGTGTCAGGGTCTGCTGATAAAAGTGAAACTGCTGATAAAAGCAAAAATACAACATTTGCAAACATCAGAAAACAAAACTATAAAATTATTATGAAATACCTTACTTGATTGTCAGTAAATAATGGTCTCAAGCATCCTGTGAAATCATGGCACCTGGTGTGCTGTCATTTTCGAGAAAAGTGGAATTTCCAACAATGGTCAGCCGACCATCATTGGAAAAAAAAAAATTTCTTTCAAATACTGCCCCCAATTTACCAAATTTTGTTAGTCCACATTTTGTTTGCAATCAGTTACATATCCGTGAAACGGATGCAAGCCAGCTGGTCTGGTTCCCTGACCTGACAATTCTCTGACGTCTATAAATTGCTCCGTTTCGTCTGAAGTAGGAAACCAGACTACAAGAACATCATTTTTTTCTTGTTTTTTTTCCAGCATTTATAAACACAAAATTTTAAACAGGTCAGTGTAACAATTATTTGCTATAAAATACCGTAGTAACCCCAAATCTGTCCATTTCTGAAAATTACTGCAAAAGCAAATGTTGTATATTACCTTTATTAAACTTCTTCTTAAAAACGTCTTCAAAATCTGATGGGTTCTAACAAGACCTCGTACATGTGCATGTGTACATACATGATCTAATGAATGCACAAAGTCATGTGCGCCTGTGGTGTACTGGTTTGACCGATGACAGTTAAATAAGCAAAGATCTGGTACCCCCTTTCATTTTCCTGTCGAGATGGTAAATATTTATTCTAGAATTTTGGATTGCCAAAGATACTAAATGGTTTCGAATCCTGTTTAAATCATGTGACCTTTACATACGCATGCCTATATATATTTAGCTGTACTAGTCTATCGAATTACGGAAAGGTTAGTAATACTGCTATTTGCCCTGAGTAATCCTGGACAATGAAATTAGAGTTGATTTGATTTTCTCTTATCTGCAGCCAAAGAGCTTCCGTTGACGACTGTCTGAACCATGTCTGGATCAAGGTAAAGAACTAAAATATGCATTCTTTAATTTAAATAACTGATAAAATTTTAATGACTGATAAAAAGGATAATGCAGGCCTTACAGCAAAACCTATGAAACTTATAAAACCTACATTTCTTGGGAGCATTATTTTATTTGTAAAATTAAACTACTGTATATAAACTATCAGAACCTATATTTTTATTCTGGTCAATTTGACCTACAATTTGGTTATTATTCCACAATAGCCGTATTGATAATATGGGTCTTCCTTTTACATTCATCAGGGTTGTGAAATCTCAGCTTTAAATCTCAGGTTTTTTTGTTTTGGATTTCAGCTTTTTTTTCCTCACTTGCTGTGTACAAAAATATAGGAGATTTCCAAAGTTTAGCTTTTTTTTACACCTTTTTCAGCTGTTTTCCGCTATGTTTATCAGTGGTCACTCACACCCCTGGTTTATAAAAGCCTAGTTTAGAAGACAAGATTTTGACAATCGAAGCTGCTTTCTGTGCTGAATAAAAATCCAGTCTTCCAGTTTGCCATCGGGTTTCAGTCCTGAACCCATTATACAATGATATAGCATGAATTGCAAATTGACACAAATCTAAATCCATTTCGACTTGTGGTTTAATGAACTCTTCATGCATCAATTTTTTTATGTGCATGCGTGAAAAAGAAATGTACATGTACACACATTTAAAAGTGAAAAATATATAGTTCCAAATTAAAGATTTCAAAACCCTTGGCAACGTTTTTGAAGTAGGCAATGGATTTTTCTTTCGTGGCCTATACATGACATCTACAAGTGAAGGATGTGTTATTAGTCATGAAGCTATTGCTATTCCGGTTGAAACACAGATGACCACAAGAGGGCAGTATTTATGGTGTCAATGTGCTCGGCATGATTTGCACATTTCACATTCTATACTGCTGTGGACTGTGAAACATTAAATGACTTGCGTCCATTAAATGACTTGCAGACTGGAGCATGTTTGTAACAAATATCCATTCCTCTGAAATGTATAAAAAATATGAGAAATCCCTTTTTGGTAAATTTTTTGCAAAGTGCACGCCTTTAAACATTTAGAATGTTTCATGCTTTTTCTGATAACTGAGGGCGCTGTTGCTGTGATGTCACTTCAGGAACACACTCTTCAGATTAGGATTTTTCCCTTCAAATCGTAAACCAAAAATTATGCTTATTAAACACATTTAGACCTAAAGTTTTCTCTTAGTATCTCATATACTGAAACAATAAACCACTGAAAGCAGAAACACAGCAAACCTCCAAATTCTGGTGACTTTTTTGTGCTAGAGATGTGAAACTGAATGTTTCTGCCTTGAATGAAATTGGCATAAAAACCAAAAAGGCACCAAAACGCCCTTAAAGTGGTAATTTGAAGATAAATGGAAAACAAAGGTGCTTTTCAAGGATTGCATTAAAATAATTCCATTACAAGGGCCTTAAACATGTTTAAATGTTTCCGTGGTTCTGGTGCAGTGTTATTAACTATACAGCGTTCTAAATGTAACTCACTTGGGTCAGAGGTGTTTCATTGGTCAACTTATTACTGAAACATGTTTTTTTTTTTCATTTGTAGAACTGTATTTTGTCTAGGTTCTCAGGTATTTGATAATCAATTTTTGTTTGTCTTGTTGTTTTGTAGCCGTCCAATAAAATCCAACGAAAACTCCGAGACAGCTCCCATCTGAATACGGAGAACCTGAGACGATTTAATGCAAAGAAACGGTGGAAGGTACAGCGCTAACGCTTTGTTTGCTTTAATCCATCATTGTCTTCCAAAGCAAGACACATTCAGAAAATGAATGTTCATCATCAAAAGTGCATGGCCATCGTTTTTGACTTTTTCATTAATGTTATACCCTCGTTAACCCTCCACTCAAATCCATCACCTGGCTTTGTGGTATTTAATAAGAGACTTCGCCTTGTTTGCCTGTCGCCTGCGATAATAAACTCATTCACAGCTCGTACACCTTTGCACTTTACAGTATAGCTGTGATAGTGGTGGCGAAATACTCATAATGTACCACGTATTTAATGCACAGTGATGGACTAGGGAGAGTCATTATTTCTGAGAAAGCGTTTTTAGCAAACATTCCAAGAGGTTTTCAGGCTTTCACGTATACCTACTTTTCCTTATTTTTTTGTTTTCTTTGCTCCTACTTTTCCTTACTTTCTTCTTGAAATTCCTACTTTTGTGTCCCACAACTCTGAAAAAAGAAAAAAATTGCATTGACTATTTTTCATAACAGTGTTACACACTGTCATATGTAAATCACACAATGAAGGGCTGGGCGCAGGAGTACTGCTTCCAAGAGCTTAGTTGAGGATGGAGCACAAAAGTGTTATGAGTACAGAACATGCCAAATGAGGCTTACATGTATGATGTTGTGGACATGGGCGAGTACATGTATCAACGAAAACTACTCCTGAAAGCCCGCAAAAGTCCTACTTTTATCCTGATTTTGTCCTCCAAAGTCCTACTTTGTCCTGCTTTGGTTTTTTTTTTTTTTTTAAGTTTTGATCCTACTTTTCTTCTTGTTCACCTGGGTCTGCTTGAAAGCCTACAATGTAGGTTTTCCTACATCGTCATGCTGTTCATCAGATTAGCCGGTGCTAAATTATGTTGTTTGCTTGTGTCATCCACATTATGGTGACAAGTTGAATAAATTGTGATACTTGGAGCCTGTTTGCATCATGTGAAGTTACCTGATGTGAAGTTACCTGATGTAAAATTACCTGATGTGAAATTACCTGATGTGAATTTACCTGAAGTGAGACTACCTGATGTGAAATTACCTGAAGGGAGATTACCTGAAGTGAGATTACCTGAAGTGAGATTACCTGAAGTGAAATTACAAGATGTGAAATTACAAGATGTGAAATTACCTGAAGTGAAATTACCTGAAGTGTAACTTATATTAGTTGGGTCTCCTGTAAAGTTTTTCCCTGTCTTTGTCACATCTGATATCTATGATGCATATAATTCTTCACCTCTGTGTTCCTCCTCCAAGAGTGGTTATTTGGAGCACATGACCTACCAAACAAAAAAAATTAGTTTGAAATATTTTCAATTACATTTGAATGGCAAATTACAAAGTACCAAGGTAACAACAGGAACAGGAAAAAATGTCGCACTTTGGTCCCTAAACTGGAAGAATGTCCCAGTGGGATTAAAGGCTTGACCGGTACAAAACAGCTTGGTGTTCAATGTTTCCTTGAAAAGATAAGTGTCCGTATTGAACTGAAACTCCAACCCTTTTTTCTAGCATTCTGATTTTGAAAGTTGTGTTTACAGCAGTTGTGTGAAATTCAAATGATCCTGTTGGCATGTTTCCGATAAAAAATAAAATGTTAGGTGTTGTTGACTTCTATTTTTCTCCTCAGCAATCCATGAAAGTCGTCTCAATCTGCTGCCGTCTCTCCAAAAATGCCAAGATCCGCAGCACTACAGGCAATCTGGACGGGGTAAGTCAGTCCAACTTCATTTGTCATTCTGCTGTCTTGGCCCTTCCATTACTGTATGGTGAAGACTGTTTGAAGTTTGGTTGGGAAAACCTTCCAATTCGCAAGCCAGCAATTTCAAAATCAGCTTTGTCAAAGGTTTCTACAGCAGTCGCAAGAGACTATAACGATTGTCACTTTTGGCCGGATACTTTTGAAACTGTCCAGTTGTACGCCAGGAATTTTCTTGGTTGTGTACTTTAACTTGAATATAATCTTGAGGTCAACTTTGCGTGAAGTAAATGCGTACAGTACTGAAGGGGCCAGCCATTCATTCCATTCATGTTGCAGATACATGTTAATCATTGGCCATTCAGATAGCAGTCATAGAGATTCATGCACAGTGTAGTTGCTCTGATGAGGTGGATTTAAGAGTGGCTGTATTTCATTAAAAAATGGTGGGCAGCCGTGTTATTCAGCCAGAATCAAATGGAAAAGTAAGGTAGCACTTTAAAAGACTAACTAGAATGAAAGTTTGCATAAGCTTTCCTAGCAACAACTACTTCATCAGATGCAATGAAGAGAGGCATCACCAAGCCTGAGTTCATTGTAAGGCTTGCTACATGTACATGTACATCTTTGATCGACTGTGTGAGTCATGTTAACACAAGTACCGTGAGGAGACTGACGAGTGCACAACTGGCAAGATTATAGCCTGTTGGACAAGAGTACAGACAAATCCTGTCACGTGGTCGCTGTTCACTCACGGGGCCCCCTTCAATGGAGAAACCATTGTGCACGCTATTGTACAAAGCAACTGCCCTGTGATGGATTATCTGAACAATAGCTAGTACAATGCTGTCGCCATTGAAGGGGGCCTTCGTGATAGAATTGATAGCGTGCCCGGATTGGCCTATACCCTCATTGGCCTATACCCTCATTCATATACTGAGACACCAGACAAGTCACGCCTCGAATCATGTGCTTAGTTTCAACTTGACATTTTAAACCTGAGGGCTGTGCAGGGGCTCACGCGCTAGTCCCTTTTTTTGTTTCTTAACTTTTTTTATGAAGCTGTCGCCCAATTCCCTTGAAACTATATATAATCCTAGAGTGAACCTTGTGGTTTGAGATGGTATGGTCGCTTTTCTTGTAGGAGTTCACTTGGGGGTCAGCCGCCCCTGGGAAAGTTGGGCCTCCAGCCAAAGCCCATTCACTTGTGCACAAAAAAAGTTCTCTGTGTTTTACATACCGCCGTCACAACAATGTCATCAATCATCCTCTACTGCTGGCCCAGTGACAGCTGTCTAGAGCCACAGAAAGGCTGTCTCGACTGTTTCATGTCCATCTTTTTTGGGGGGATCCAACATGTAATGGTCGATCCAACATGTAATGGTCAATCCAACATGTAATGGTCACAGTGCATGCAGTGTATATGTACATGACTGTGCAGCCACAATGTCTGTGAGTGACCTACTGGAGGGGATTCAATCTTGTGTGGGTTCGGGGGACCTGCATTCATAATATTTAGACCATTAGAGAAAGGATTGTGTCCACAAAATAGTATTTTTTACGCGAAATCAAAACTGCCTCACGCGTGAGCACCTCAGCTACGCGGCGTAAGTTTTTACGCTTCGCAGCTCGCAGGGTTAAGATGGCTGAGCCATTCAATCTTTAAACTTGTTATGTGCATGAACATGTATAGGTACTTGTATTAGGGATGAACTTTCTTGTACACTTATGTTTCTTTTTTGGGAAGAAAAATTGTGAAAAAGTACTTGGCTTTATATTACATACCGTACAGTCACTGATGGTTACGTAATATGGATCGTCACATTGACATCCAGTTAGAGTGTGATCTGTTAGTGATGAGCATAACTCAAACATTTATTTTGTTAGTCTAAATTTGCGTCAATACTTCACCATTAACACAGAAAGGATGCAATTGGGGGTTGTACACGGAACTAATTGGGATAACCCCACGTATTCCCCATCCATGACTCATTGGCTAGATGCTTACCACACCCTGTAGTGTCTCCAATCTAGATTGTTACCTTTCATGTGCTTCCGCTGTACGCACCCAGACACATTGCCCAATCGTTTTCCTCCAGTTGTTTAAAAAGAACCGTCTGGCTTCGACCCAGAGCCCCAACATTCTGCGCAAACTCAAACTAACCTTAGCCGAATCAGTCGCCACTCACAGCAATGGGTCACTCCACATTGTGGACGTAAGTGCAATATTTTTTCAGCTTGATTTGTTTTTTGGATTGGAGCATACTGCATGAACGAGAAAATGAATTGCATGTCTCGAAAATTATGCTTGTGAAAGATGAAGATCACTGAAGCTGGCAACATGTACACGTACCGGTATGTACACGTATGTACATGATGTACATTGTAGGTGAGTGTAAATTTATACAGTAAGATAGAGATGTTTCATGTTCCTTACCAGTTGTCCATGGCAAGTCGATCGTAAGTTAGTCACAAGTCAAATCATAAAGCCCAATCACATACATGACATATGATAAATGATTAAGAATACGTAGTGGCTATCATTACTGCAGCCATAACGTGATTTTCAACTGCTTTCGTTACGGCATTGCAAGAACACTACCGGTATTGCAAATCTATATATCACATTTATAACTTCCCTTCCAACCCGAGCGCTTTGGTAACTCGATTGGTTAAACGTTGGACTACCATGCCGAAGGTCTCGGGATTGAATCCGCGCTGTGAGATTTTTTTCTTTTTCATTAAACTGCAAACCTTGAAATGTTATTTGCTACTAGACTTGAGACTGATGACTTGTGATTGATCTGTGACAGCTTGTGATGCTGTGCTTACACCTCTGCAAACGGTTGACATAACTTTATACAGAACTAGTAAAAGGACAAACTTTGACAATGCTGTTAATGTAGTGAAGGCAGTGACAGAACTAGAGGTCCTTTGTACATGTACCGGTATGTAAAACACTCTAAGATGATTTTAAGTATCGTTGTCCTGATTGAGAATTGGACTGAGATGACCTTATACCTGGTTTAAGCAGCTCCTCAGTGTTTCTACTTTTGTACCCGATGTACTTTCATAAGCAGGCCTCAGCCTGTTGCTTATCCGAGACTGAGGTAGAGGCCCAAGTCAAAATTGTAGCAAAATTGCAGCTGTGTTGGGACAGAATATACATGATCATTCATTCATACAATGTTTTTTTTCTTTTTCTGCATATATGTACTTGTACGCAACAGGTCCCGGTTGCTTACATATGTGTAAATGTACAGTTAAATGTCAAAGGCGGCAGTAATAGGACTCGTGCGTGGGTCTCTTACTGTCAGATATTAACTTGTCAACATGTTTGTTTCAAGGAATACTGCTTTCAGTTGTAATATTTTTAGATTGGTACATAAAACTGTATCTATACCTTTTAATAGCAATTCTTGCAGATGAGGGGAAAAAAACATCTTTTTCGCTGCCACCATTTAATTTGTGTATTGTTATACAAATACAGGAGACTGCTCTGAAGAATATCTATTCCAAATGCATTTTCTTCAGTTTTATAATTCTCACATTAAGACAGGTGATGCTTTCAGCAATTCATTCTCTAGAGATTATCATACACGTGTAGCTTGAGGGTTCCTCACTTGTTAAGTAACAGACAGCGATGCATTACGAAAAATTCCCAACTGTAGCGAACGCTGGCGCCATGCCATCATCTATGGTAGCTGACATGAACCTTACATGTACCTTAGTCAGTGGAGACAGAAATGCGACTGAAGGAGTAGGAGGGAAGTGATGGATCAACTGTCCCTTGCAGTGTGACCGTCTTGTAGATACTGCCTCTAGAAATGTCAGTGAAGAAAAGAAGCTGTTCAGTATTGACTGCCTCATCATCTCTGTCTGGGCCCCTTTTCAAGTAGAATACAAAACAGTCAGATTTAGCTCTGGCCCACTAGGCACCTGTTGCCATTTTCCATTTCAAAGAGTGCTCCTCAAGGAAATTATGGAGTAATACTGAATACTGAAGGGGAAAAAAATAGGTCCTATGCCTTTGTTTGGGATATGAGGAGTTCTAAACTTGTGATTTTTTTTTTTTTTTTTTTTTTTTTTAGGAAGGTGCCCTTTACATGTTTTGTACAAGTTTGACTTAAAGAGTTGCTTGCAGCATTTCTTTGTATGATGCAAGCTTTCCTTGGATGTACAGTAACTTTAGATTGAAATGTGGTGAAAGATTCTCATTCTCAGAGAAAGTTGGATTGGGAAAAGTGGTGAAATTATTGTGATAGGGATAGATGTCTGTACATGTATGAGGAATTTATAGAGGTTCTACTATATTCTGATGTTTTCAAACTTTTTAACTGAGACTTGCCTATACCGTCCAATTCCCATCAAACTGACAGCAGTTACATGTAGGTTGATGTAATCAGACCTGGGAACTGCTAAGGTTTAAACAGTCCCACGTGGGTATGAATTTACACTTGTTTATGGGCTCCGTGCACAAGTACCCCCTGAACGGCAAGACAGGGAGAGTTGGGGGAGACCACTGGCAGGGACACTCAAACATATTGCCGATGGCTCACGCGAGGACGCTATGACATAAAATAACTTGTTTGTACTTCGCGTTATACGAGCGCGAACCAGTACGCACAGTCGTGTGTCCCATCGAGGGGGCCCTCAAAAGTGGTAAAAGGCACCCTCTCTTGTTCGCGCACGGAGCCCCTTACCCGCCAAGACAGTTTGCTTAATGTGCCCAGGACTAGTTCATGTACATTGTATCTTTAAAGTTTCATTTTGTGTCGCAACAATCCTGCCCTTGAAATGCTTTGTGAATGCTGATCTTATTTGAAGACCAACTCAGATCGATGACTGCAAAACACAGGTCGGACTACAAAATAGGTAGGCTAACCTCACCTGCATTTTATTACTCAGATGAACTTGACTTTGTAGATTTATGTTAAACTTTTGCATAGGCCTACAGATTGTTAGGATTGCAAGCACATTTGCTCAGAAAATATGAAAATGAAAGAAGATTT